CAATAATAAACTTTATTTACCCTACACATCTACACATTACAGTGCCAGCCTACACAATACAGTTCCGCTAGAAATCAGTGGCCCTGAAACAAAAAAACTGCAGTAAAATTTATAACTACGAAAAAAAAGTTACAATGTACAACAAAGAAAGAAAAGAGCTTGAGCGAAATTAATTACAAAGGTATCGTGGTAACTACATTGCAATCATAAAAATGACGCCGTCCGCAAATTATTGATCAGTAGTAAAATGGTGGCGAGAAGTGTTGTAACATGTGTAGGCTTTTCCAACGAATACCTAAACTCATTGATTGTTGCATATTGTATTTTATTCAACAACACTCACACTCATGCTCAGTGATATTAAGAAGTGGGAAAAATATTGTTTAGCGGGATAAGCCAAGCTGGTACAGCTTGGCTTAAGGGAGGTGCTAAAATTACGACCCACGCGAATCCGGGTGGGAGGGTGGGCCGTCCACCAGCTGACCCGCTGAAAACTGAGCTAGAATGTGAAGTTGTTGGGCGGGTTTCCAGTATTTATTGTATCACAGGCGCGCAATCTTACGTAATCCAATTTTTCAACCATTAGTAGGGGGTTATGTAAGAGTAATTCCATTTTGCATATCATTATGAGTGTTTAGAATAGTAACTGAAGATTAAACAAGGATTATTTATAAAGCTTATTAATGTGGAAGTGTCGGTCGTAGTATTTTGTACACTCGAAAAATAGCTGATTTAGTCATGAACAAAAAGGGAAAAGGTGGTGGAGTCTTATTCTTTGTTAGTCCAAATGAAAAAAACATGGGGCATTTGCTCTATCCACCTGTATCACGTCTAAGAAGACTGGGGAGAGAGATAGAATGAAGGTACGGAGTGTAGGACGCGCCCTCTCTTACATGATCCCCTCGAGTACTTGAAGGAGTGAGCTAGTTATCGAGTCCTACAAAGGCCAAGTTGCTGAAAATTATGGAGGTTTCAGTTTCGCTTGGGTCAAAGTATTTTTCATTGTCCTGAGCTTCCTTGATTTGACCGTTGGTAAAAGCCAAATTAAGGAACAAAAAATAAAAAGAGGAAAGCACCGTAAATTTTTGGGAAAAATTATAATTGACATTAAATACATGCCTTTTCATCAATTCAAAAAAAAATGTACACTGCGCTCTTTGCTAGTGAGACATAAATACTGTAAATACTCGCATTAGGTACTTCATTAAAACTTCTATTTAGTTACTTATTATAAGTTAGTTCTTATCACCTAGTTTACTTACTTGCTACTTTACTAATTTTACTGTTTTTGTTGCCAACTGGAAAGTGTTGCTTCTTTGGCCACTACGGCACACTTTCATTTTTTTGTTTGTTTTTCTATTTGTTCGTTTGTTTGCTTTTTTTTTTAATACATCAAATTATAGCAATTGAAACAAGTATGAGTAACTGAACTTGCACTTGAAGCCATTTAAACACTAAAAACTGAAGTCATTGCTCTGTGCTAGAGTCCTGGTCGAACGGCACACCATAGTCCATGATACTTCGAGAAATCAATTTTTCCTATAACTTTCATCAACTATAATTTACATGATCAAACGGCGCGAAGACGTTTGCCATAATTATAATCGACGATAGCTTATTTTAAGCTCCCTCTAGCTTCTACTGCCACGCTTCTTCGGTGTAAATCATAAACAAATGATTCTGGATAAACCTCATAAATTTTCTGGCAAGGGGGTTTCTAAACAGCAGACAACCGTTTACATGAAAAATCTTGGGTGACCCTGGGCAGAGGACAACTTGCTTTAAATGCAGAGAGCTTGTAGACACCACGCCTACCAGAGATAAATTAGGATATAAAGGGCATGAGGAAACTCGAAATATGAAGGGACCTGCTTTTTTGACATAAACAGTAATAGGAGCCATAATCGGGGACGGAGACCGTAAGCGCGCGCCATTTCTAGTATTGGGGCTGTCCCTATGATAAGGGACAATTTTTCTATTTTCAGAACAAATTGCGCCATCGTGCGCGGCTTACAGACGGACATGCTGCGAGGATTTTTGCAGATGTAGCGCGGGAAAATGGCGTCCGAAATTCCCGAAATGTTTGATGCTTTTGGCCCACAACTCAATACGTTTATGTCTGTTGGAATTTTGCTTCAGTATTTTCGTCGTAAGCTGCTTCAGTTTGAGTGAAGTAAGACAGTGT